AAATATTAAAAATGAAGGCAGCTAAAAGGCTATAATATATTATGGGCATGAATACAGTCTTCTTAGTGATGAGTGTGTCTATAATATATTATGGACATAAATGCAGTCTTCCTAGTGATGAGTGACCCCTGTTTCCATTTCTGCACAATCTTCTCAGTTTGCAGGATCACGGCTCAATCTGTACAGTTGCTGCATCCTGCCCCAGTACTGAAAAACAAGCCATCCGCCAGTTTAAATATTATTGACTGAATTCTTTTACTAGGAGTGCACATTGTGATGAAAGACCAGCCTTTTGTTGTTCTTAGAGCACTTACTTGAACTGGACATGCAACTCCCCCAAGAACTTTTTCATTTTGTTCTTCAGAAGTACACATTTATGATGAGTCTTTGCGGTTTGCTATCACAACTACAAAGGTTATGGGAAAGTGTTGTGTAGGAACGATACAGTCATTGGTTTTTTTTCTTTCTTTTTCTTTTTTCACTTTTCTTTTTTAAAGCAGGGTATCACTGTGTAGCTCTGGCTGGCCTAGAACTCACTATATTGACCAGATTGGCCCTGAACACACAGAGATCCACTGCCTGCACCTCCCAAGTGCAGGAATTGAAAGCATGTGCCACCATGCCCAACCTATAGTCATTAACTTTATGGAGCCTAGAAAAAAATATGAAATTGTTAACATAAATGCAAATATCGTGCAGTGGTTTGAACAAGAATGTCCTCCATAGGCTTACATATTTGAATGCTTAGTCAGGAGGTGGTACTATTTGAAAAGAATTAAGAGGTGTGGCCTTGTTGAAGGAATTGTGTTACTGGAGATGGGCTTTGAGTTTTCAAAAGCTCATGTCAAGTCCAGAATCTCTCTCTTGATCTACACATCAAAATGCACCTTTTAACTACTTGTTCAGCACCACACCAGCCTACTGCCACGCTCCCTGCCATGCTGATAATGGATTAAGCCTCTGAAACTGTAAGCAAACCTCCAATTAAATGCTTTCTTTATGAGAGTTGCCTTAGTCATGGTGTCTCTTCACAACAATAGGGCAGTGATCAAGACACATCTATATGCCCTTTTCCAAACCACAAGCAAGATTCAACTCCCCAGGATTAGAAATTAGAAATTCATCAGTTCCTGTATATATTTCATAAATGCCACTTATCTGGACCACTTCTAAAATAAGTGCAACCAACAATGTGGATGCAGAATAGACCAGCTACCCAATGGTGTATTATTAGAAGGAGAAATGATACATTCAAGCTTCTTTGTGCTCTCACTCACACTAATGGTTAAATTGTTAGGAATAGTAACAACAATGAAACAGGTAACATTTAATTACTTATTACATCTTAGAAAACATTCTAAGCATTTAATCTGTATTTATTTAACTTTAAAACAATTCCTAAAACAATTCCTTTATGGGGGCGTGGGGTACAAGGTTGACACTAGATAGCCCAAGCTAGCTTGGAACTTGAAATCCTCTTGCCTCAGCCTCCCAAGTTCTGGATTACAGGCATCCACCACCACATCTGCCTTCCTCAAGACAGTTCTAAAAGGTATGTACTATTATTAACCACATCTTACAGAACAGAAACGTGATGCCAAGCTGCCTGGGGAGAAGGAACTTGCTCCAGTCATAACTAGCATCATTCAACTGTACTTAAACATGGGATCTATACTGGTACCAACTACATGGAGCAGGAATTGTTGGTGTCCTGAGAGCAATTTAGGAGTGATGCTTCCCAATGGCCTAGGTGGCACAGATCAAGAAGGAGCTTTGAAAACCCTGCTGCCTCTACTTGCAATGAGCATGTGAAGCTGGCTCAGCCCTCAGTGCCATCTTTTCATACAGAGATCCCTCCTGGCAGGGAAAACCCTTTCCTGTCTCTCTACCCCCATCTCTCCTTCCCTTCCCCTCTCCCTCCCTCTCCCTCTGTCTCTCTGTCTCTCACTCCCTATCTGTCTCTGTCTCTCTCAACTTGGACACACTCAGTGATGCTTTCCTTAGCCCTGTATTAACTTGTCTGCCAGCATCCAATTAAAAGAAATAAATGAAAGCTTCCATTAGCCATGGGTAGGATGGGGCCAGCACCAGACCTTCTGTGTGTGACCGGTGTGCTGACAAATCCCTCACCCAGCGTCACAAACACCTCAAACCACACAACAGCTGAGTGGTAATTATTTTCTTTTAGAAAACCCTGCTGAATGATTACTCAGACTTGTGTAATAAGTCACCACACAGACTTTTGCATAAATATATATGTATATATTTGCACATAAATAAATAAATGGAAAGTTCAAAATCCCATTATCAATATACTTGTGAGTTTCTTTCCCTTCTTTCCTTCTTTCCTTCTCTCTCTCTCTCTCTCTCTCTCTCTCTCTCTCTCTCTCTCTCTCTCTCTCTCCCTCCTTCCCTCCCTCCCTCCTTCCCTCCCTCCCTCTCCCTCTCTCTTTCTCTTTCTCCCTCAGTACTGAAGATTGAACCCAAAGCCATGCATATACCAGGCAAGCATTCAACACACTGAACTATGTTCCCAGTCCCTGAATCCAGTATTTTCACTGTCCAGAATTCCCTCAAGTCCTGACTGATGGCCTCCATAGGTTTTAAAAATTCTCTCTTCCAAGAAGAGCTTCACATAGCTGCATTTTTCTGGGGGTGGGTGGCTAGGTGTAATTATTTTAATACCTGTCATGACTACAAGTCAATTTGGGGCTATGATTTTGAGGCAGATTCTCACACTGTAGTCCAGGCCATCTTGGAACTATGTAACACAGGATGGCATTGAATTTGTGGCAACCCTTCTGCCTCAACCTCCTGAGATCTGGGATTACAGGATGTGATGGCTATTCTTGGTTGTTAACTTGACTATATCTAGAATTAATTAAAATCCAACTGGTCGGATATGCCTGTGAGGGATTTTTCTTAATTAAATCATTTGAAGTGAGAAGACCCACATTTAATCCGTATCTTTTGAGGTGGGAAGATCCATATTTAATCTGAGCCACAGCTCCTGGTGTGGCAGCCTTTATAAAGGACATGGAAGCAGGAAGCTCTTGCCCTTTGCCTGTTTGCCCTCCATCTCACTGCCAAGTTCATTCCCTCACTGGCATTTGAGCCTACTTCTTAGGGATTTCAGTGTTTAGGGAAGACCTGCTGAGGCATCCAGTCTCATAGACTGAACAACTACTGGATTCTTGGACTCTCTATCGGTAGATAGCCATTGTTGGACTAACTGGACCATTATAATAAATCATATATATATATATATATATATATATATATATATAATTTATTTGCATATAATAAATCTAGCATATATAATGAATATATAATATATATATGAAATGAAAATATGTCAGTTCTGTTTCTCTAGAGAACCCTGAGTATACACAGGCACACACCACCATGTCCCAAACAAGTCACATTTTAATCTGTGGGATATTTGTGTACTACCACCTCAAGCCTGTTAAAACTTTGCAATAGGCATGTTCATCTGAATATAGAAATCTCAATCTTATGTTTCTCGGCCTCGCTCTTAGGTATGGTTTGACATTAACGTATGTTTATTATCCTTCAGATAGACAGGAAGAGTTGTGGGTGTGAAGTCTTAGATAACGAGTGTTCTCATCAGCATCATGACTAATGATCCATGAGGTGCTCCTCTCTTCCTTCACCACCCAGTTGAACGTCAGTGTCCCCAATCTCTGTCCCTCTACCTCTGGGGAGGTGAGGATGAGTTCTAACACCAGCATACCAGGGAGTAATCTCACACAGCCTCCCACACGCACAAAAAAACCTTTATATCTTTTATATCCATATTCATTTTGTATCTGGTCTAAAGTGCAAGCACACTTACTTTACCATAAATATGAAATGGTTTAGCCTTAGAATCCAGAAGTGAAAGTGGATATTCCATAAATATACTTCACATTTATGCCCTGGGCTTCTCATCCCAGGATTCTATTGAACTCAATCCATCAGGCCTTACTCAAAAATCATGAAATGTATATCAATTTTTACTTCAGGGAACACCAACCTATAGCTACTTGTACATCATGGTATCCATAATACTCTTGTCATTAAATTGTATAAGGCAAACACCTATCCCTTACTCTATTATAGCAAATACAGAATAATTTGCTCAAAGTGAGTCCTTTTTCTATAAGCTTTGCATCCTATAAAGCAATGATAAACTATTCTAAAAATATTGTATTGACTTTGAACACATTTTTATTAAAAAAAACTGATAATGACTTAAGTTTGGATTGACAGATATTAAATTATTAAGTTGTACAGTCATACTCCTCACTCAAATGTTGCTGTAATCTCTCCTGACTTCATGATATAAATCTGCTGCTAGTATATTATATATTACATATATACATATATATACATATATGTATGTATGTGTGTATGGATGTATGTTTACATGGATGCCTTCCTTCCTTCCTTTCTCCTAAACTGCTCCTCCTTACCAACACTGCACAGCTGAGTTAAGCAGGTCCCACTTATCCATCTGATAGAGATAAGCCTCCAATCTTAACTTCCTTTTGAATTTCATGTTCAACTTATAAAACTGAATCGGTATTTTTTCTTTTAGAGTTTAAGATAATCTACTTACACGTCATTTGAAAGAAGAGATTTTCATAGCAATCAAGAAACAATAAAATGTGAACTAGAAATGCGGAGAATTGGGTTCCTCTGCTCTTTAGACTTGTTATATACACGCCTGTGCCTCCCCAATTACCTCATAAAACTAAGAATGAAGTACACCCCAGTTCCTTGTTGGAGGTAATCACGAAGTACTGAGCTGGCTATGTTCCCGTTCCAGCAATCCTGATGTCATTTCCTCATTGAATAACATGCTGCAGATACCTCAGATGTCAAACTCAGTACTATGATTCCTCAGAGAAAACTACGGAAGATCCTTTTGTACAGAACATGAGCTCACATCTTCCAACACTGAGGTTAAGTGCCAGCACGACACATGGTTTCCTTACCTGGGTCAGGTGGCAGGCAAGCACAGGAGAAATGGGTGTTGTAGCCCACTTTGAAGTCCGAGTTGATAGGATAGTAGTCTGCTAGCTTGATCATCTTCTTGAAAGCATCATAGATGAAGATGAAGCTGATCAGCGAGGAGAAACCTTCTTCCGTGAAACGAGTAAAGTACTGAACCAGGAAGCTGGCATCAGTGGCCACCAGAATGAGACACATGAAGGCCGACCACAGGCCAATCCAAAGACGAAACTCCAAGTAGTCAAAGTTATGGTCCCTGGAAAGGAAAACAAAACAGCAAAACCAAAACAGGTGTTTTGACTGTTCCACCAGAAAACAAGCAGATTCTCAACACCACTCAAATGCCTACAGAATGGTTGCTGAAATAAAAGATCACTTTCAGACACTGCATGGAAAGAAATATTAAGCTTAAGGATTTGGTTTCACGATATTATTATGCTACCTTTAGGAATTACTCTAAAAGTTTAGGGCAGGGATAGGCACTTAGAAAAGTACATTTAGTGTTAGTGTGTATAGCTCACTAATTTTCTCTGAAAAAAAATAGCATCTGAGGTGGAAGTTTCCTCCCTGCTAGCTAGCTTTTATAAAACCAAAGAGTAACTATGAAGGATGCTGGGAAAAAACAGTATCCATGCTCTTACCTGGATGTGAACCCCATGGACCACAATACCAACCTGACAAGCAATATATATACACAGTTGCGCATCAGTGGCCTGACTGTTCCAGAGGAAACCAATTACTCTCTGATTGGATTTGAGGCCTGCTGTACCAGAGGCCTGCTGTACCCATGCCTGTTACTATAAATCTGCTAAATACCCATGGCTGGGGAGGTCACAGACCCTAGACAGGAACTTAGTATTGTTGTTTAGTTAAACAGATACAGTGTAAAAATGCCTACTAAACATTAACGGTCACAGACAAATGCGATCCTCATTTTAATGAGAAAACACCCCCTTTCTAGTGAAATTGGAAACGCATGAATTCTCAAGATGCTGATAGTAAGTGATGATTGGTTGGTCAGCCCTACATAGATACTTACAACATCTTTGCAAGGCTGAAGGAGTACTTTAGCAAAGAGACCACAGAGACTAAAGGAGACAGAGGATATCTGTGCCATCTTCTAGATAAGGCAAAAATTACAATTGCCTTCACTTGCCTTCCCATTGGCAAACCCACCAGACTTCAATGAATAGTACCAAGCATGGTCACACAAATGACCCTGGTTGACCTAGGTGGGTCATAAAACACTGAAAAGGGTATCAATCTGGAAAGAAACTCTAGGGATAAGAAAAGAGTTCATAGAGGTGGAGGGGAGATAAGAAAAGGTAGGGTAATTATAACTGCAATGCATGTATGAAACTGTTGAAAAAATAAGCTTAAATTTAAAAAAATGGTTTTTTTAATGTATTCATGGAGTGTACAGAGTAAACTATTTAAAAGCACTGATATCAGGTGAAGACAACACTAAGATCAGTATGTTCTATGCATTCAACTTGGGACTGTCTTCTACTAAGGGAGACAAAATGATAAAGGCCTTTATATCATGAAATGTTAAGTGGTAGTGTCATAAGGAAAAGGGTAAGTAATTTTGAGAGGGAATGAAGTTGCAGAAAGGAAATCAAGGTGTTTGAGAATACATATGAAGAAACTTTCTTGACTGAGTAGACAGAGTCAGGTCAGGAAGCAGAAGGAGAGTTTAAAAGATATGTGGAGCGTGGCAGTCTGTAATGTGCACTGCGGACAGGGCATCACCAACAAGAGGAGACAGGAGTAGAAACATGGGCTCTTATCAGATCAAGAGAGGCTGCCCTACCATGATGCAGCCAAACACTACAGCTTCTCATTTGAGTGCCCACAGATAAGATATCCTTTTACCATAACTGGGTGTGTCTACCTTGTTCTGCCTGGGTTTGTTCCATAGACTTAGAATAGGCCATCACCCTCTAACTAGGCTACTACCATCTTCAACTTCCCATTTCTTCTAAGTCAGAATCAACAGAAAATGATGGGTCAAATATTGACATTTTATGACTGCATACTGATTATCTATAAATTATGTAGAGAGTAGATGTTTTTAAAAGATTACTAACTCATAATTTATTGCTGTGGAATAATCCTTCTATACACTGTTGAGATGCATTGCTCTCACTGTTAATAAAAAGCTGTTGGCCAATGGGGAGGCAGGATAAGGTTAAGTGGGAGAACCAGACTAGGAGAATGTTGGGAAGAAGGAGGAGGAGGAGTCTGAGGAGATGCCATGTGATGCAAAGTGATTGGAATGGGAAGTACATACATGAGTTAAACAAGCCTCAGGGCAACATAGATGAATAGAAATGGGTTAATTTAAGTTATAAGAGCTAGCTAAAAACAAGCCTAAGCTATAGGCCAAGCATTTCTAATTAATATTAAGTCTCTGTGTGGTTATTTAAAGAGCAGCTGGCAGGACAGAAAAGTCTGCCTACAATAATCTATGATGAGAAAGGAGATAAGAACCATGGATCCTGCATACTTGACATTCTTCAGAACTGCTTCTCAACAACAGGCTTCTGATAACTGCTAGCCACTGTTTTAACACTTTCCTAAAGGCAACCTATCACCTCATTCCCTACCATCATCTCAGTTTGAACAGCTAGAACTTTGTCTGATTAAAAACCTCTGAACTGATTCATTTACTGATTGATATCTATGCTTGCCTTGCTCAAAGCCATCTTCCACACTAGAGCTAAAATGATCTTTCTAAGTGCTAACCATATATCTTAGCTGAAAGTCTTACAGTGGCTTCCCACTGCTCATAGAGCAGAATTCTAATCCTCTGCTTAGAACAATACTTTGCTCATAAAAAAAAAACTGCCTAATACATTCGTAATAGATGAAGGAAAGCATGCCTGTAGCTTATGTTTTAAGAAGGTGACTAAGAGTGACCTGTGAGTTATCACATGGAACTAGGAAATAATTATAGAATGTTACATTTTACAGTTTCTGAGACACTGTTATAGTTAATTTTATGTCAACTTGACTGAGATATAGGGTGCTCACATATGTGGTCAAACATTATTGTGTGTTTCCCCAAGTCTGTTTCTAGAAAGATTAACATTTAAATTCATGGACTTTGGGTGAATGTGGATAGGCCTCATCTCATAAGGCAAAAAGTAGAACAGAAAAAAATGGAAATTATGAACATTTTACTATGAAGTTATGTTCTATAGATCTTCAGAGACATTCCAACAACAGCTTTACCTTCTTCTCCTCCAGTTCTATGTATATCTACATATCTACATCTCTACTACTGAGTGCATGTCTATGGAGATAAGCATACTGCAGAAAAAAAAAAAACATGCCCTAAGAATTAAGATAATTCACTTTATCATGTGAGTCAGTGCCCGAACAAGAGTAAAGAAACATTTTACTACCGTTTGAACCAACAGGCACTTTTCTTAAAAGTTTAAAACAACTACCTAGCTTTGCTACCCTAAGAAGATGAAAACTAGAACAATCTTTTATTGTTTGTTTGGTTTTATGTTTTGTGTTTGAGAAGGAGGTTCACTCAATAGTTCAGGCTTGCCTGGAACTCAATATATAACCCGTGCTGGCTTTAAAGTCATGGCACTCCTTCTGCCTCAGTCTCCCACATGCTGAAACTATAGGCATGCACTACCATGCCCAGACTGAAAACTAAAGCACTCCAGATTTGTCCCAAGAATGCTTGAGGATGTTACAGAGTTGATGTTTGCAAAAGAGGGTAAAAACAAATCCAGTAATTGTTAGCAATGAAAACATCATGAGTTTGGACACAACGGGGGAAAAAATGCACCTACAATTTTAATTTTTTTTTTTTAGACTCTAAACAGAATACACCCAGCTAGCTATTCGAAGAGACTTTGAAACCGCCAAGGTAGTTCAGTGAGAATGACAAAAATAAGATCACTAACTAAAACAACGCCACTGTTATGAACCCGCAACGCTCCAAGTTTCAAGAAGAAACAGAAGATGAGACTCTTTGAAGCATATTAGGTGGTAATCGGTAATAACCACTCCTGATCCTGTCAAACAAGGATTCACCTACATTCCTGAAAGAGAAAATTATGTCGGGGGGAAAAACTGGGCAAAGTGAACTAAGAGCTGCTTCACTGAACGCCATGTTGATTCTTTAGTGTACTGAAAAGGAAAGTGAATGACCAAGTGGAGACTGTACTACAGAACTTCCAAGACATACTGGGGAGCTTTTTTTCACAGAGCAGCTCAGTTCCTAAGCCTGACAGTGGGTCAAACTGGCTTCGGGACATAGGGAGCCACAAGGAAATACTAGCATTGCTGCTCTAACAGAAGCAAATGAATGAATTCACAGTGTCCTAAATAAAAGTACCATTTGTCACATGATGGGCAATGTTGACTTTAAGGCAGTTTCTCAAATGTTTCTCATTGCTTTACAACTGTTTTCAAATGAATTGCTTGAAACTATGTAACAGCACCAATTATGATGAAACAGAAGGGAAAGTGAGAAAGGAACTCACTTGGTGGAAGGAAATACTCTGTAGCCTACAATAATTAAAACAAACCACCACACAAACAGTTTCTGTAGATTCAGACTCGGATCACATTTCATCCAATAAATCTCTCTGTGAGGTTCTGCCTATTTGTTCCTGTTTATAGTGCATGCTTGTTTAATCTTCCCATGAAGCCTTTCTTTTCTCACAAAATGTTTTCTTAAACATATAAAAACTGTTTGACTCTCTCTGTAAACTGACATGAATAAAATTCTTTCCATGTCCTCAGAATTATGGTGGAAGAGAAATCTGTAATAATGATCTACAGAAAACTCACCATTTTATTTAAATATTGCAACCTCAAATGCTCAGAAGGCTTTCGCTGATGTTATCCACCCAGATTTTTTGTTTTTATGGTTTCAAACCTTCACTTGTCTCATGTAACTTATGACACTTTTCCATGGCACACACAGTTTCAAAAGTTATGTGACAGTCCTTAACTGCATGAGTACTGTTATGGTTTGGTCTGATATGAAATATACCCCTTGAGGCTGTGGGTTTATACACTTGATCTCCAGCTGGTAGCACAGTTTGGGAAAGTTGTGGAAGTTGTAGAAGGTGGAACCCTCTTGGAGGAAGTATAACCCTGGAGGTGAGCTTTGAGGTAGTGTAGCCTGACCCCATTTCCTGTTCTCTCTCTGCTTCCTGAAAACCAGGTGCTCCTCATACTTCTTTTGCCATGCTTTTCTTGTCTGTGATGGACTGTATCCTCTCTGAATTGTAAGCTAACACGAACCCTTTCTCCCCTAAATTGCATCCTAGAACAGCAACAGAAAAGTAACTAATAGAGGTGCTGTGTAGACACTGGCTATTCTACAATTAAAATCCTGTTAACACATCACAATACAAAATATGGAAATTCTACAAAGGAATACTCACAAGACTTAACGAATTCTGACATCTGAGGACTAAGATAACCCAGTAAAGGCAAGTCTGTCTTAGAAATATATCAGGTACAGTAGGAAGAGACAAGAATACCCAATTTTACTTTGAATTTACTCACAAACTAAAATAATTCAAATAATTGACACGTCTCTTAGTATCCCCTCTATTTAAAATGACCCATTAATTTCTAAAAGGAAATATTGGTGCGCTATTACTTATCTGAGTACTGGAAGCTCTATCTACAGTGAAGGACACATGGAGTTAGGAACCATAAACTAAGAACATTCAGTTTCTTTCATTAACGAACCACGTGACCTGGCATAAGTCATTTGGTTCCCTCACTGTTTCAGTATCATGGCAGAAAAAGGCATTTTTAAGTGGGATCCAAGGAAAACAAAATAAACAGGCTATTTACAAAAGCATAACTCTCCCTCCCCCTAAAATGGCAATGTGGAGGCACTCTGAGCTAAGTAGAGCAGGAAGCCATTATCAATCTTGGGCTTGTAAAGGTCACACAAGGAATGGAGTTACAGGAGCCTGGTGAGCTAAAACTAGGCTACACAGGCCACCTGACAGGGCCTAGTGTCAGGAAGCAAGCCGGGCTGCTGTGCTGAACACAGGGAATGATGGGAGAAAGTGACATACTGAAACTCAGCTCTCTCTTCATTATCTAAAACAGCAGGAAGCCCTAGAGGGCAAAGGAATCTGGGGCTTGAAGACCCTGAGAATCAGCCCTCAGGACAGGAAACAAGCAATCGGGAAGAGAATTCCTGGGGAAGGAATGAACAGCAAGTACAACAGATGGGCCTCTCCAAAGGACTGTCAACTAAGCTCTGGACAACTTAATCATGATGGCACTTTTCACTTCCAAATCTTATCACGCTAGTATTTTGGCGGGTATTTGGATCTGTTTCATTGCTATCCTGAGCTTTATCCAGATGGAACAACACAGAAGAGCAAATAAGTAGATAGACATACAGACATATACATACTTGCTGAAATTAAACAGAAGCCTCTCAAACACCAAGACAGGTCCTGTGCTGCTCAAAATGGTGAGCGGTTGGCCAGCAAAAAGGCAAAAGATGGCTCCAGAGACAGCGGTCCCCAGGAAACTCTCCAACACACCCTAAAAGAAAGAACATTCAGTTGGTAAAGCAGAGCAAAAACCAAACACACTTCTTATCTTTCTGTTTGTGATGTCAGCTGAAAAATGAAGCTCCCTAGCAAACAAAACAAGAACAACGGTTTATCTAATACAAAATACCACCACAGTTCTTCACATACATTAAATTACTCTTCCCTATTCCAAAGGTTGATTGTTCTGAAAAACTACAATGACTGCGCTGACTGGTGCACAGGAGGCAATGGCATCTCTGACCGTCACTTAAAAATTTATTGAAGGCTTGGTCAACAAAAATCATATTCTGTAAACCCACCAAACAGAGGAATTGATTCAGTTTTTTTTTTTAAATCTATTTTTCTCTTTGTGGTTCTTCAGTGTGTTAACGTAATTGCATCTCGCACGTAGTAGGTACTTTTGAGTAGCTGTAATTTTAGCCCAAAGTCTTTTTTTTTTTAAATTATTTATTTTTATATGCACAGGTGTTTTGCCTGCATGTGTATACGCATGAAGGCGTTGGAACTCTTGGGAGCCTGAGTTACAGACAGTTGTGAGCTGCCATGTGGGGGCTGAGGAATTGAACCCAGGTCCTCTGGATGAGCAGCCAGTGCTCTTAACCACTGAGCCATTTCTCCAGCCCCCCAAAGTCTTTTTTCTAACAGAAGATTGGAAGGGGAGATGAGAACAAAGGGGACGAAAACAGTGATGCGATTTTAAAAATTATTTTATCTAGTTTTTACTTTCATACATGTATACAATGCATTTTAATCCTATCCACTCCTGCTCACCACACCAAACCACTCCTAGACACTACCTTCCATATCCACCCCTCAACTTAATATCCCCTTCTTTTCTTCCTCACAACCCACTGAGTCCAGTAAGTGCTGCACATGTGTGTGTGTGTGTGTGTGTGTGTGTGTGTGTGTGTGTGTGTGTGTGTGTGTGTGAATAAAGGGCTGTCCACTGGAACATGAGCAACCTAGGAGAGGTCACACCCTAGAAGAAAACTGACTTTTTCCCTCCACCAACCATCAACTGCCAATAGCTCTCTGCTGGCCATTGGCAATATTTAAGCCACCAATTGTAAAAGCAACAACAACAATAATAATAAACAATAATAATTCACATTACATGCTCAAGCATTTTCTAATGCAAACTGCACAAAAACTTCAAGGAACTTTGTTGTTAGAGAAAGCCAGCGTCCAGAGACATAAGTAGCTAAAGCTTGTGTTCACATCTCTGGACACCAACCCCCTGTCTTCCCTTAGCACAACAAGAGGCAATATCTGTAAGAATCACTAAGTCACAAAACGACCTTCCTTAATCATGTCATTGAGGACCAGCAGTATTGATAATTACTATTTTTACTGCTGCAGAAGACAGAATGGCATAAACTCATGTGTAAAAGGGTGTTTTTGTAAATATAAAATAAGATTTAGCCGAGATAGTTTCGTAATTTCTATCGCATTTACTTTATTTAGCTGTGTGGGGGGTGCACAGGTGGCCGGAGCTGGCTCTCTCCTTTCACCTTATGGACTTCAGGAATCAAACCCAGACGGTCACGGTTGGCAGCAAGTGTCTTTCTCTGCTGAGCTATCTTGCTGGCCATCAAGAGGCAGTTTTAAAATGTAAAAGGTGACCAATTATCACACACAATGCTATGTATCTGAATATCCAAATCTAAAAAGCTTTTTCAAATGAATAAAGGGAGTCTATACCTTTAAAAGGTACAATAACATACTCAGGGGTAGACTGGATTAACATAGTAGAGTAAGGTGTTATCTTTTCTTTTTTTTTTTTTTTTTTTTGTTTTTTAGGTTTTTCGAGACAGGGTTTCTCTGTGTAGCTTTGCGCCTTTCCTGGATCTTGCTTTGTAGACCAGGTTGGCCTCGAACTCACAGAGATCCGCCCCCTCTACCTCCCAAGTGCTGGGATTAAAGGCGTGCGTCACCACCACCTGGTGTAAGGTGTTATCTTTATACCTTTATGTGTATAGTAAAACATTAGGGGGAATATTTCACCCTTAGACAAAAAATACAGGCAACTAAGGAATGCTCAGACCAGGAGAAATAGCCTTCCCTGGGGGAAAAGCCCCACAATTAGTTATCCAATACAAAGTGGTCAGCCCTGAAATATTATATATACACAAGTAACATTATACAGACTGAGCAGGTTGTATTTAGTTATTTAAGAGTGTGTGTGTGTGTGTGTGTGTGTGTGTGTGTGTGTGTGTGTGTGTGTATCAACAATTAAAGAAAAGAGGCTATGAATATGAGACAGCATGGAGGCACATGGAAGAGGTTGGATGGAGGAAAGGGAAGAGGAAAGATGATGTGATTATATTTTAACTTTTAAAATTATATATATATATATATATATATATATATATATATATATATATATATATATATGAGAGCCTTTCTCCCATAAATAGTACATCACCTACTCTTGGAAGGGTGATTTATGTTAAATAAAGCAGACCTCTTAACTCAATCATCCTTGACTGGGACAAAGCAGATTTCTTGGAATTCTGAGATGCCCTTCAGAAATGAGCCTAGCTGCCTGTCAGCCTCAACAGGTCACCTCTTTCACTGTCTCAAATCTTTTCTGGCAGCTTTTCACTCACTTTTTCTTTTCTTTTTTTTTTATTTGTTTGTTTGCTTATTTGTTTGTTTTTTTCTTTTTCCAGACAGGGTTTCTCTGTGTAGTTTTGGTGCCTGATCTGGATCTCACTCTGTAGACCAGGCTGTCCTCAAACACACAGAGATCTGCCTGGCTCTGCCTCCCAAGTACTGGGATTAAAGGTGTGTACCACCGCCACCCAGCCACTTTATTTTCAAAGAAAACATATCACATAGGAAATAACTATGAAAAAATTGACTTTAAAAAATCAATTTACAGAAAACACATTAAGTTCTATCCCTGGCCAGGCATAGTGGTAATCTTAATCCAGGAACAGAGATGGGTGGATCTCTGTGAGTTCAAGGCTGACCTGGTCTACATAGTAAGTTCCAGGCCAGGGCTACTTAATGAGCTCTCATGCCCTGCTCCCCCCAAAAAGTAAAGAAAATTCATTCCATCCCAACCCACTATCTAGAACCCATGGCAATTGAAAATACTTGTATACAGCTTTAGAACCACCAACACTGTCCTTGGAGTGACATTAGCAATAGAAAATGCCTCTTCTCTCAAGGTAGGGATTTGAATCAGAAGGCAGATGACAATCCTTCAGAGTAGCATTGGAAAGAAGTGGCATTGGGATGAAGTGGCCAAAAGATAAGAATTGGCCAAGTAATTAGATAGACTCTTCTCGCGTCCAGTAAGCCTGCTCTGGTACAGCTCAGACAGGCCCTGTCTACAGAGAGTACAGTTCGAATCTAGCAGGAGGGGCTCAAAGAGAACCCCACTTACACATGTAAGTGCCAATGAGCAGCTTGAAAGGTGTCATTCATTATTTATCCGCCCCAGCTAATTCTTCCTCACAGAAAACAATTTAAGCAGGAAGTGAAACAACAGAACCAAGATGCATTTAGACAGACAAGATCGAAAGGGGTCCCCTTGTGCCCTCAAATAGTATTGTCTTGATTTCTTGACTGTTGACATAGTGACATTCAGATGAGTTAAATGATGTGAATGCACTGAGGGTAAGAACTCTTAGATGTGTGTGCCCATCTAACCACACATCACTCTTTCTGAGTATTAAAGGTATGCCTTGGGCTTGGGTTTTCCTAGCTATGGAAATTCTCAGCTCCTGTGCATAAACAGAGGGGTTTTTGTTTGTTTGTTTGTTTGTTTGTTTACAATTTTATCTGTATTTTTTTATAGCTCACCTGAAAGCTAAGGATTTGAATGCTTTGTTTTAACAGATAATCCATTTATATGGTGGTATGTCTTGTTTATAAGACAGTCTGAGTACATGTAAAAGGCAAAGAGACCGTGCATCATTCTTCATCATCAGACAGAAGAATCCCTATGTCTTACCGTACTTAGCATAGGATCAAAACACAGCTCAGACTGGGTGTAAGGGAGGGTGCAAATTCGGAAAGCAGGAACTTGAGATTCAGGATCCGTGGCTTGGCATAGCCGTTAATCTCTGTAAGGGCTGGAACAAGGTCTTCCCGCATCTCCTGTTTCTCCTCCCATGGTGCTGTCCACCATTCCTCTACCACGTGCTTTGCAGGTTCTCAGCAAGTGCTGAAGGGACGGAAGACTTGCCCAGATGACACCCTAGGTCTCCTTATCAAAGGTCAGGAGCCCTCCTTGCTGCTCATGCAGTAAAGATAGCAACCAATTTCTCCCAGAAAACACTGTGATTTATGGAAGCCATGTGATGATTCAAAGGCAGATTATTTTTATTTCGGTACTTGATCCTGTCGTAAATGCTAGTTTTCCGTTCTGTGGCTGACAATTCTCAAGCAGAGGCAGGTGATTCATTATATACACGGCACTGGAAACCTGCTTAAAACTGAGAGATGCTTCCAGCATTTCTGAGAAAAGAACTATTTTCACCACATTTTGACATGTTCCTCTTCACAACACAGAATTTTTTTTAAAAAAATAATCTCAGGCAATGAATAACTTTAACTGTAACTAGAGTCTAATGCAACTTACAAAACAAATTGTCATAAACATCTTTTCACTAATATTTGATTCTAAAAGAAAACTGCATTGACTTGTGTCTTGTCAATAGCCATGAGTCTTAAAGCCATTTCTACATCTAACTTCTAGAAGGAACAAATTTCCTAGCACTTCATGGGGATGCAGTTGGCTGGGCTCAGGGGTGTGGTGGCATCAGGGCCACAGAGTACCCTGGCACTTTTGGTTGGCCCTTCACCTTATTCCACTGCTGTCAGAGGGTGCCTGGCCGGGAACAGTAGAAAAAGCAGACAGCCAGCACTCAGGAAATCCAAAGTCTAGACTGTTCTGCCACAAGAGACCCAATGATCTTCAAAATGTCACTTCACTTCTTTCAAGTAAGAAAATAAATGGTGACATAGTAGAGAAAT